CCGTAACCACCCTTTTGTGCTGCAAGTTACATTGTATAAACTTTACCTCTTTTATTGCTTCCCGGTCCTCCGTTGAAAATTGGACAGCAAGGTGGTTAATTATTCGACCATTCCTTCCTCTGACAGTGGGGAGGGGGTCTCTTGTGGCTCCTCGGAGTTTTCTTGCTGGTGGTCATCGATTACCATTTTTTCTGGCTCGACGTCCTCCACCGTTGGCGTAAATTGGGGGGAAGAGGGTCCTTTACCAAGGAGTCTTCTTTGGACCCCGCTTCAGCCTCTTTTTAGACCTTGGGTCTTATAATCAATGAGGTGAACGCATAGCTCATCCTCATAGATTTGGCCTTTAGGGCTCCCATGTGTTCGTATCCGATGCCGAAGACGAAGAGATGTCCCTTAGGCTCTTTTTTGATTTCATGGTAGAAGGAGCACCATTTCGCCACATGCAAGTCTGGGTTTTGCCCCTCAAGTCGCCTGAACACAACCTCTTTCTCGTCAAGGTCAGCTTGCGATTCCCCTGGGATCCAGAGAAACGCTTTGGTGAGCTAAGGGAACTCCTCCATCCTTACAACGGCGAGTGTTGCTCCTTCCCATGTTTTTAAGGTCGGTACCTTGGTTTTTAGCCATTCCAACGTCAAGTCATCGTCGCAGGTTACTCTGATGATTTCACCAGAGTGCGACCAAACCCTGAATGTGGGTGGCTTGGTTTTAGCTGCAGGAGGCGGACAAGATTGTTTTGTCCAGCTCTCCCATCAGTGTCTTGTTGACAAGGATTTCTCTTTCGGTGGTTATCTTACCGTAAGGGCTATCCTTGTCTATTATAACTACTTTCAGGTGGCTCCTAGCTGCATCCTTGTAGCTTATCCCAGACAGAACTTTGTGGTCCGGAACGTTATCTCGGAAGAGGTGTGAGATCGCGGCCTTTTCTTGTCCCTAGTTGCATCGTGTTCTTGGCCTCTTGTGGAGGTAGAACTAGCGTCGCTGTCTAGGGACCTGATTAGGCCGCTTTTTTGTTTGGAGTGAGGGAGTTTGCTGAGGGTGACGGTTGTCGTAGCACTGCCTGCCTGCAGCTTATCCCTCTTCCTTCTCCTTGCTTCAGACTCACAGATTCTTTTGCCTCTCCGGGGCCTGTTAGTTGGAGGTGAACTACTGTGTCCATCCTCCTTTTTGAAGGTGGGCGTCACTGTCCAGCTTTCTGCGTGGGAGATGAACTTTGTTGTCCAGGCTCCTCCTTTGCATGAAGTGAGCGTTGACGTCCAACTTCCTTTTTTGAGATGATCGTCGTTGTCCAGCCTCCTACGCCGGAGTTGGACTTTGGTGTCCAGTCTCCTTTGCTGGAGGTGAGCGTTGACGTCCAGCCTCTTTGGGTTGTTTTTGTGTTTGTGAATCCATATGATTCCCACGAGTAGCTAGGGAAGGAAAGGTCGACCGACGCAGAGCCCCGCATGCGCCGGCAAGGCTAGATACAAGAGGGTGTCGCCAGGTTTCCTCAGGGGAGCGTTTGCTGCTGCATATGCCTCTGCGACAATTCATCCGTCGGCACGTTACCTTACACCTTAAATAGTGTCATATACCTCCAACATTTCTTTTTTGACATAGTGTTATATAAAGTGATAGAAATACCCCAAGTCCTCTGACAAAAGAGTGTCACATTTTTAGTTACAGTTTGCACGTATCTTTTTTCAGTTGCGCTTTGTTGTTGCTTAGCAGCGCAAATTTTATTAAAGTACGTACAAGAAAGTCACTTTGAAAAAATTAAGATACCGTTTTAGATTTTGTCTACATTTGATTGTACCACTCTCCAAGAGCCTCGCCAATAGATTTGTGTCTCTTAAAATATAAAATTACGTTTAGGATTAAAGTATTTGATTGATCACTAAATAGTTTCACCATTTTGTTAATATCAAAATATACAACTTTTTAACAAATTGACAAATTTAAAATTATTTTGATAAGTGCCACCTGACATAATAACATGTTTACGACGTACCAAAATCCAGTAACACAAAGAGGGACACTCTAGGATCTTGTATGCTTCTACTCTCTTCCTACTCATTCTACTATATGCGTACGTACTTTTTATTTTGACTCCCTGCTAGAGTTTAAAATTCCAAGTGGGTGATAGTAAGAAAATTCTTTAAGTACTTGATAATATACGATTACGATAATGCATTTAATACAGTTACTAATATTATTTCTACTTTATTTCAGTTTTATGACCTCTAAAAATTAGGTCACTTCAATACAAACAACAATTTTTGCGCATGCGGAAGTTCGGAAGACATGGACGCTCAAGGAAGGATACTCTAGAATCGTGTATGCTTCTACTCTCTTCCTACTCATTCTATTTTATGCGTACGCACTGTTTGTTTTTACTCCCTGCAATATTTAAGGTCACTTCAAATCAGACAATTTTTGCGCACGTGGAAGTTTGAGAGACAAAGTGGACACTCTATAATCTTGTATGCTTCTACTCTCTTCCTACTCATTCTACTATATGCTTACGCACTTTTTGTTTTTACTCCCTGCTAGATTTAAAAATTCCAAGTTAAGGATATTGTGTTTTTGATAAATCTGTTTAGCTACATTATTAGAGAAAAGTTGTGTGTAAATTTTAATTAATAACTTATTTCAGGTAAACAAATGTATAAAAAAAGGAAGTAAAAGTACGTTTTACAATATTTTTGCTAAATAGGTATTTTATTCTCAGAGAATTCACAATATCCCTAACTTTTTTCGATCAGTTTATTTATTTAAAAAAATTTAAAAACAAAGCATGAACTGCTCAGCGCTGAAACTTCTTCAAATGTTTAGGTACCTCAAGTTTTTCAAATATTTCTATTTTCTAAATAGATTGTGCTTTTTGAACCATCATATTGTGTAAACCTTCTCCCTATGGCATAGCAATGCCCATATTCAGAAGTGTTCGGTTATATATTACGATTGTTATCGATAGAGAGCTACGATGAAGTCAATGCAAGAAAAGATAAACGAACTTAAAGAACAGGTGAGGGCGCTCCAGAATGGGACAGGCGGCTAGGGCCGCCCGCCCAAATACGCCGCACCCCCCCCCCCCCCCAATGCCCCAAAAGGGAAAAAACAGGCGGCCCGGCCGCAAAAAAGGAGAAGAGGATCCGAAGTATGAGCCGTGCCACCACTGTTTGAAGCCCCCAGAAGGGTCACCACGGGTGACCCGGCGCAAATCCCCACGTAAATAAGAGAAGAAGGCGTGGTATATAACACCATATGGTATAAATATAAATAAAAAAATATATAACCAACCAATGACAGGGTTCAAAAGGGGTTAACCAACCATTAACAGGGTTGGTTATATATTAACCAACCATAATATTATAATCGGACACTTCTGAATATGGACATTAGAACATTAAACTGCTACTTTAACAGTAAAATTATGGCAAGTTATTAGAAAACTGACGTTTTTCTTGAAAAATTGCAGATAAAATAGATGCATTGGCTCCTAAGAAGTATGGTGTATCTGACACTTTTGTATGTTTGGAATATAAAAGAAGTTTTACAAGGCTGTCTAACTTAAAAAGGCACATTAAGGTAAGAAAAAGTATAAAATAAATTAAAGAAAATAGTACCTATTATGTTTATACTGGAACTCCATCACACGGATATGGAACACAAGCTCCAAAGGTGGCCGAGACAGTCAGAAGGGCATACTCTTTCAACAATAAACTGGAAAACAAAAGCATAACTATAAGACATATGAAATCAAAAGACTACATTGGGAGAATAAGGATGGCGATTTCCGCACTGATAAGGTACACAGTAATTTTGTGACATATGATAGTGAAATTTCTCACAACACACCACAGGATTATAGACGAGATAGCTGACACAGTTATACATAAAAACATTCTCACCAGAGGGAAACAAACTTACTGCCCTTTCACAGACCAAAGTATAACAGCAGCCACAGCATACAAAAGATTCCATGATTTTTTTACTGATAATATGGGACCAATAGGACCAAGTTGTTTGGAGTGGATACAAGCAATACTCAAAGTTATGGAGATGAATTCTGTCACACGTCTAACGGTCAAAAAGATAAGTGCGAAGAGAAAGAGCAACATACACGGGTCGAAAAAGAAATGGCAAAACAGACATATGAAAAAACCTCCTCAAGACAAGTGATTTTGTAATGGACTTACTGAGGCATTTCGTTTCAAAAATCAAGTACAAAGAAAGGGTAAGATGGACAGGCGAGCTATTACATCGGCAGGTATAGGACTGAGTGTTTCTCCAAGCGATTGAAGAATTCCATCTCGCTCTGGCTAAACACATGGAGGGCTCTACAATATCAATAGGGGTAAAACAAAAGAAAGCAAAAATAGCAGCAAATCTAGCCACATGCCAATGTCAGGGAACTGGAGATGCGCCCAAGTGGAATGAATGTCTTGCCACAGAAGCTTCCGTAATAATGCACACATATTTCTTTGATAATAGTCTAAGGCACAAACTAAGCCTCCCAAAATCAAACGAGAACGGGAAGATACTTTCAAAGATCATGTGCTCAGGGAAATTCGTGATGGCCATCAGACAGGTTGAAATGGGACACGGTGTTTAGGTGCACAATGAGAACCAATTCGCAAGAATACAATGGAAAAAACATGAACACAGAAATACATGATCCAAAAAAAAACGCTTGAATGGTTTGAATCTATGGAAAACAAGCTTGCACCTGATGGGACATTCTTAAATATAAGCCCAGGGATGCTAATGGGGATTCTGAATGCAGGCTCAATAACCTTAGGCCTCTTAGCAGTCAATCACAGAATGGACCCCGAAAGGATGAAAATCATAACACTACGCCCAGGTGATGACTCTGTCAGTATACTTGTCAGATAGCCCAAAAAGATTTCAGGCTTGTGCAGAAACAAATTGAATAAGCTTAGCACTGTTGGAAATAACATTGAGTAAAGAAAAAACACTATTTATGAAAAGGAAAAGTTGGAGAATACACTTCGTGGTAGATGAACCAACAATTCGTGGCACAATATGGAGTAGAAACCGCCTCCATCAGGTCCCATGAAAAGAATCCCCACGATGACTTTTACGCTATAGCAAAAGGAACTTCAACTGCCCTTGGGACACTAACAATGTCACCGTTGGGAGCATCAATACGGCTCCGAATTGGCGTAGACGGTGTCCGCAGGCTATCGAGAATTACGAGAGATCCCCACAAAAGACATAATGTCAAGGAGGCCAATATAACAATGGAGGAAGGAAAAATCTATTTCAGAAGAGTATTAAACTCTGATAACCCTTTCCCCGGAGAAACCACAGAGGCGATGACATTTACATAAGAGACAGGAGCGTTACAGTTGGAAGTCTCGGAAACCCCGAGAAACATCTTGTGTCACGTGAACAGGTCGAACAGAACTTTTAGGACTGATCTGAAGAAACTGCAACCAAGGAAAAGGAATATGGAGAAGTTCTGAACATAGTGAGGGCAATTGACCCTGTAACAAACATCATATACCCCAGATCAAATGTTACGATAGCAGTTCAGCTTGCTGCAAACATGGATTTCCAAAGACAGAAGTTTGAACTTAAGAGGAACAGTTGTATAGGGCTGCTATCAGGTATCTTAATACAGGCATTCCTGACAGTGATGAACAATTGGATTGGCAACTGGACGTGGAGGATGATCTTTAACTTGTAGGCATATGCTATTTTGAATTAATAAATATGCTAATTACACAAATTGTAAAAAATACGTTGATTCTTATTGAAAATATAAGTAGCAACGCTAAAACTGAGTTTTGAAGATTTTTAATGAAGATTTTCCTTACTTTTGGAGTAAAACCCGCTATGCCCAGTATAGTAGAAATACAACGACATAGAACAAATGCTGAGATAAGCACACCAGAAGAATATTATAATAGATCTATTTTTGTGCCGTATATAGACGATTTAACCTGTTCTTTAAATGAAAGATTTACAGAACATAAAACAGTAATATCTTCTTTGCAGAATGTGTTACCAAAGTTCGCTAAATCATCACCATTTGTCTGCTTTGGGGTTTTACAAAGAAGATTTAAACACCAATAATTTTTCAGCGTTAGAGGGAGAGTGGGACAAAATAAAACGGACGTACCAGAATATGCTCTGGACACTCTTTATTTGTGCACTCCCAGTTTTTTCCCCAATATTCATGTGTTACTGTGTATTCTGTCCGTTCTTCCAGTAACCACAGCTACAGCGGAAAGGAGCTTTTCAACTTTAAAGAGGCTGAAAACTTACCTGATGAACCATTCTGGTGATGAGCGAACAACAAGTTTAGCTCTAATGAGTATTTATAGAGATATTAAAATCGACAATAATAAAATTATTATATATTTTGTCGGTATGACGCATGGTTTTCCCGTTTTTCAAATGTTTTCAAGTAGAAAAGACACAACCATTCAATATCTTTATTTTTCTCCTACTAAAGAAACAGTTTGCATGTGTGTTTATGGTTTTCGGATCATTTATTTATTATCGTAACATTGATTTGATTAAACAGTATAAAAAACACGTTTTTAAATGCGAATAGGTCAAAAACGGATAAATCAATGTTCTTTGGCAGTATTTTTTGCTTTGTAGTTTAGTTAAGCATTTTTTCTAATGTAGGTAAGATTAGTTGTAAAATATTTATGTCAGATATAGACGAAACATTTTTTAAGACATAGATTATGATGAGTTGAACCTGATAATTAATTTTATTCCTGCCATGTGAATAGGATATCGTCGCCTTAGAACCAGGTTATTCTATGTCCACTTTTTTTCCTAAATCAGATTTTCTTGCCAGACTATTCTATGTCCGAAGCTCTATCGGTCAATCTATTCCAAGTAAACCTATGCCGAGTCGTTCAGTAATTACGGTAAGTCGCTAATATCCTATGTCCTTTCAATTTTTTTAATATTTGAACCGAGTTATTCTATGTCCTCATAGCCAATAAAATTTGACTGTTTGCATCACGTGGGGGACAGAATAATTTTGCACATATATTTTAGAAAACAACATTTTGAGGTTAGTGCATAATTTTCTGTCTTGTGAACGTGTTTACGTGTTTATATGTTGCTTTTTTGTTAAAAAAAAATGAGTAATTTATAATGAGCAGTTTAGAAGAATCTTTTTCTGAACCTTTCGAAGACTCAGGGTCAGAATACGAATTACCTACAGCATGTAATAGACGTAATAAAACAAAAAAGTGAGTATTGTTTCTGAAATATTTATAGGTTACAATTTAGAATATATTTTAATTTCAAATATTTTTAGTTTTTATATTGATGATAGTTCATCTGATGCAGATGTGTTCTTTCCTGTTAAACATTTGAGAAATTTGCATCAACTAGACGTTCAAAGTAAAAGCAGCATTCCTGGAACATCTAAGGCAGCAAATTTAAATAGCCCAGTCAAATCAGATGGCCCAAATAGCCCAGACAATTTAGATGATCCAAATATCCCAGACTATTCAGATGGTCAAAGGTATTTTAATATTATTTTTATTTAATTTGTAGTACCTAAGTAGTACCAATATCCAAATCTTACTGGGTATTTTTTTTAGCACACCAGTAAAGAAGACTAGGAAACGAAAAGCTAATGAGGCTCTTTGGAAGAAAAATATTAGAAAAAGATTGAGACAAAGCGGAGAAGAATATACAAGTTGTCGAGGCAAGAATGTTAAGGCAAGGGCTTGTGTAAGAAACTGTTTGGGCTGTCGCTTTAAGTGTCTGGACAATTTTAGTATCGAAGAAACAGCTTTAATGCATAGTGAATTTTGGAAAAATAGTGACGATGCAAAAGGCCATTTTTATGAAAAAACTACCGAAAAATATTGTGTGGAACGCCAAAGGAATAGAAATGTGCGTCAGAGAACAAAGACATATTCTTACAAATATTTTCTCCAAAAAAATGAAAATAAAATACGCGTTTGTAAAAGATTTTACTTGGGTGTTTTAGATATTAGTCAGATCAGAATATCTTACTTTTATACCCACAAGAGAAAGGGGATAACTAGTACTCCCAGTCAGTACCAAAGAGGCTGCAGTACGGAAAAAAAGATTAAAGAGGAAAACAGACAACTAATTAGAGATCATATTAATATGTTTCCTCGTACACCCTCCCATTACTGTAGGAGTTCCTCCTCCAAAGAATATTTAGAGGAGGACGTTGTCTTTATCAAAAATGTACGACCTATACGTCAACTGGTGTGGAGAAAAAAAATGTAATACCAGAAAAAAAGTGGCTTTACTCAAAACATTTTTAATTATGAATTTAATCTTGGCTTCTTTATCCCAAAAAAGGATTTATGCGAGGTGTGTACAGAATATCATTCAAAAAAGGAAGAAGGAACATTAAATGAAAATTTAGAGGAAAAATATAGGGCTCATATAAAAGCTAAACTAGAAGCTCGTGAAGAGGAACTAAGGGATAATATATCGGTCTGTAAAATGACCCGTCTACAGCTCTAATTTGTTTTGACATGCAAAGTGTTCTAACTTGCCCACAAACACAAATTTCAAAGGCCTGTTATAAGAAGAAGTTTGCAGTTTATAATTTGACTGGAAATCATGTCGTTAAAAAGACTGGTTTCTGCGTTTTGTGGCATGAACTTTTGGGCGGAAGAAAAGGTGTCGATATTGCAAGTGCGCTGTATGTTCTTCTAAATAAGTTTTTATTGGGAAGGCCTGATGTAACCAATCTGATTTTGTGGTCAGATGCATGTGTACCACAGAATAAAAACTCGCACATGTCTGCGGCTCTATTATACTTCTTAAAAATGCATCCTGAAATACAGTCCATTGTTCAAAAATTTCAAGTCCCGGGTCATAGCTGCGTCCAAGAAGTTGACGCCATGCACAGTGTCCTGGACCGCAATTTAAACAAACTAGAATTGCACAGTCCACTAGCTATTTACAAAGCCATTAAAAATGTTAGATCAAGAAATCCCTTTCGAATTATCCAGATGCAAAAAACAATTTTTTTAGATTTCAAAACTATATTACAATTCGTCACTTTATCGACTGTCCCATACAAAACTTTAGTTGAAATTTCTTATGGACATACAAATTAACTTTTAGCGAAAAAACTCCTATTAGAGTACTGTTTTTAAAACGTACCAGACAAAATAATCCACAATCATTTTTGGATAATATTCCAGCTCCTCCAGTTCAGCAACCTCCTCCTGATCTGCCAGTCGATAAAGTTGCTCATATTAAAAGCTTGTCAAATCATTTTTCCGCTATAGACTTGCAATTTTGGAAGTGTGTTATAAAAAATTTTTAAACTTTTAAGTAATACTAAACTATGAATAATCTTGTAATCTTAAGTTAGTTCTGCATTTTGTTTTTTCACTAGGTTGAAAGTTGGAATTAAAAATTATTTTTCTACCACTGTTTTCTTTATTATAAAAATGTTCTGTGGACATAGGCTAATTTGATTAAGTAATTAATTTATTGTGTAAAGTCTGATTCATTCTATGTCCCCAACATATTTTTTTAATGACATTTTTCTCTTAAATGTCAAAAATTGTAGTAAATGTGTCGGTTACCTGTTTTTAGCAAATAATTGAACTGGGTTAAAAAATAATATTTATAATGAACATCACAAAGTTGTAGACGTTATAACGTACTAAACTTTAAAAACCGTCTCCTGCAATTTTTAAAAAATGGGACTGGTTCAAAGGCGACGATATGGCAAAGCAATATTAACAAATTTATAGATAAGGAAAAGCGTGCTTATATATATAAAATGCTAAAAATTTTACAACAAAATACATCAAAAGATAATTTTTATTTGTGCGGAATATTTAAAAAATATTTATACACATAATTTTTGGAAATGGGTTTGTTTTAGAAAACATTTTTCTATTAATATAAACATGTAAATAGAATCAATGTACAAAATTAAAAAGTATTTTAATTTACATTTTGCCAAAGGATTAAATGTTGTTTTAAAATATGTGAGGGATAAAATACCTGACAGAAAGCATTTAGCCATTATACTGTTAGCTAATAAATATGCCGAGACATTATCGTGAAGAATATTATAAAAAATACGGTAAGGAATATTTTTGTTACTGCAGAAATATATACGTCTGATAACAATAAAGCGTACTTGATCCTCACATGCCATTTTGTACATAATAAACGAGATTTTGAGTGTATACACAGGTGAAACTATTGGTAGCGCAATGAATGTAATTTTAAATGATTGGAAAATTGTAGAAAAGGTTGTTGCCATTTGTTCAGTGTTTACTGCGCCTATCGTTAGGCAACCAGTATTGTAGACTAGACATTAACTCTGTTTTATTACTGA